TGCCGCATGTTGAGTATTGTACTTGATTTTATGATATTATCTGATATATATTGCTTTCTATTTTGAGTTGGCCGATGATATCTACTCAGTACTTGTGTTTGTACTGACCCCTTCTTGCATGTTTCTTTCCTTGTTATTGTGGAGTGCAGCAAACGTACCGTCATCTTCAACTCAACCGCAACTCTAGCCATTCTTCGTCACACCAGATTTCAGGGTGAGCTAATGTTTCTAGCTTGGACTGGATCTTCCTCTTCATGTGTTGATGCCTTGAACTTCCGGCATGGACTAGCTTTTTACTTATTTTAACTTCTTAGATACTCTTAGATTAGTAATTTGAGGATAGATGTTCTTGTGATGATGACTTCCAGATTTTGGGGATAATGATAAGCTTTGAGATTTAGAAGTTGATTATTGATTTTGTTAATGAGTTTTAAGTCTTTCGCATTGTTTTCTATTTATTATGTTTGAAACGTTGGGGTTTAGATTGGTTGGTTCGCTCACATAGGAGGATAAATGTGGGTGCCACTCACGGCTCGATTTGGGTCGTGACAAGAGTTTTAAAAAAATCGACTGAACTATTGACAACAAGCAGAACTTTGGAGGTAATCTTATAATATAAGTTGTATAAAGAATATTAAAAACTTATTAACTTTTTCAACTATCCTTTGTACATTGTCTTCATTCTTTGACTATTCTTTCTAATAATTCTTGTTATTTGAAGTTTTGATGATTTGACAAAACACAGGGACCTTATTAAGGTACCTGGTTCTCAGCTCAAACTGTTTTTTGACTACCAGCTAGAGAAAGTAATAGTTGGTGCACAGGTTCCAACAGCGGAAGAAGCGTCAGAAATCTTAACAAATGGCATGGGATTAAGAATAGTGACCTTTCTATACAAGGATAATATCTTCATACACTTCACTTAGTTTTTTCAACTTGAAATAGCACATTTAAGAACTCTTGCAAAGGCTTAGAAAATCAAGAATAAGAAATATTCCAAACAACTCAAGCTCAAGCGAACATAGCGTGTAGTTGTTTGAAAATACTTTCTTCCGATCTTACATTGTGAACTGATCCTAAAACTATAAAGGACTCAGTGTGGTTTGATCTGGAAATTCTAAGTTAGTTAGTTAAACTAATTTAGTGGGCACCTGTGTGTTGCTTAGAAAATCCTAAGTTGTCTAGTGTGATAGCTTAGTTGGTAGAGTAATATCTACTTAGGCTCATCAAGCAATAGAGTTATTGCTTGATAGTGAGCTTAAAAACTTTTTCTCACATTTTGTGTAACCAGTTTTCTTTTGTTTGTGAAGATTAGTGAAATGGTTATGAAAATCCTGTGAGACATGTCGTGGTTTTTCTCCCTTGAGCAAGGAGGTTTGCACGTAAAACTCCTAGTGTCATTAAACTGCATTTACTTACATCTATTACATTTTTGTGTGTCAAAGGACCTGGTCTATTGACTTGTTGTGGACGCACAGATTCTAACAAGTGGTATCAGAATAGCTACTTTATCTGGTTAATACCAATAGAGTGATTCCTATTCTAGAATGGCTGCTTCACTCAATCTGGAAGAGGGTGAGTCTTCGAATCGACCTCCTCGTTTCAATAGCCACTTATAGAGCTGGTGGAAAGTTAGAATGCATGATTTACTTATTGGTGTAGATAGTGAACTGTGGGAGATCGTCTTAGATCGACTATTTGTTCCAATGTGTGAAGAAAAATATGGTGAAATCACTAGACTTGTTCTAGAGCCCAGATATAAATATGATGAAGATGACATAAAGAAGATTGAAAAAGGCTACAAAGTAAAGAAGTTTGTCTGTGGTATAGGTCATGATGAGTTTAATCGTGTCTCAATTTGTGAAACAGCAAAGAAGATTTGGGATTGCTTGAAAACATCTCATGAAGGAACTGAACAAGTAAAAGAGTCAAAGATTGATATGCTTACCTCTCAATATGAAAATTTCAAAATGAGAGAAGGTGAAACCATTTATGAGATGTTCATTAAATTGTCATCAATCACAAATTAGTTAAGAAGTCTTAGAGAACCCATCAGTATGAGCAAGCAAGTCAGGAATGTTCTTTGAATCCTTCCCAAGTCCTGGGAAAGTAAGGTAGATGCCATCACTGAAGCAAAGGATCTGAAGGTGTTGACAATGGATGCTCTTATTGGAAATTTCAAGACTCATGAGATCAACTGAAGTTATGATTACTCAAATAAGGAAACCAAGAAGGATAAGTTTTTAATGCTGAAATACAGGTCTGAAAAAGACTCCAGTGAAGATAATGATATGGCTTACCTCATCAAAAGGTTTCAGAAGATTGTGAGGAAAAACAATGGATTTAAAAAAGGAGAAAATGTTCCACGAACTGCAACTCCAAATGATACCTGTCACAACTGTGGAAAGGCTGGACATTTTATAAGAGATTGTCCATTACTCAAAGCTAAAAACAAAGAATATCAAAGTCCAAGAGGCGAGAAAGAAAAGCGTAGGGAACTGACACATGATAAAAATGATCAAAAAGCTGCAGCTGATTATGTGGTTAAGAAAGCTCTTGCTGCATGGGGAGATTCTTCGAGTGATTCAGAAGACTCTGATGAACCAAATGACGTATCAATGGTGGTGGTTCATGATGAGGATAATATATACAATGAAATGATTGCTTTCATGGCTCATTCAAATGATGAAGATGATGAGTATAAGGTAACTCTTCTTAATTTTTAAGTAAACTCTGAATACTTAATCTCATAAAAGACTGAGAAAATTAGCAAATCTTTTGATTGATTCTGTGATTGAGTTAACTTCTAAGAGAGATTCCATGAATGCTATGTTTGAAAGTCTAAATGAAAATAGAAATAAAATGAGTGAGAAAATGTCACTAACTGAAGACAAAATGGTTGTTCTAGAATCTGACAAACTATAACTCAAAAAACAATTGCATCTGATAACTGAGAAATTTGAAAAACAAAAAGGAAAGTATACTACGCCTCCTTTCAATCCTCGTAGCAAATATGCATTTGTGTTTGATAATTTGTTGTGTCTTCATTGTGGTAGAAATGGGCATTTAAAAAGGGAATGTACATCCTGGATAGAGTCACATGGAAGATTCTCAAATTATACAGAAAATAAAAGGATTTCAAAAGGGAAACCTGGTCCTGCTCAAAAGCTCTTGATAAAAAAGAATCTAAAATTACCTCACTGGGCAAGAAACACCTTGATTAGTCTTTTATCTACCTTCTGGGAATTCAAATTGAAATGGGTTCCCAAGTCTAATAAGTGATTCTTGCTGCAGATGAGTGAGAGGAGTAGCAGTCAATGTTGGTACATGGATAGTGGATGCTCCAAACATATGACTGGAGATACAAAAAACTTACTCTCACTCAAGGCACTTCAAGGTGGATTTGTTTCTTTTTGTGATGGTAAAGTGGGAAAAAATCTTAAAGAATCCATTGATAATGTGTACCTTGTCAGTGGGTTGAAGTACAGTATTCTGAGTGTGTCTCAAATTTGTGACACGGAAAATAAAGTAAAATTTACATCTGAGAAGTGTACTGTAGTTAATCTGACTATAAAGAAAGTGATTCTCATAGATCAAAGATGTAAAAATATGTATGTGTCAAACTTAGAAACATCTCATGGAGATAATCTAACATGTCAAAGTGCTTAGAATAAAAATGTTGCTATGTGGCATCGGAGACTAGGTCATGTGAGCTAATCTTTATTGAATAAGCTGGTTTCTAAGGACATGGTACTTGGTTTGCCAAAGCTGAAATTTTGTGAAAGTAAAATCTGTGAAGCGTATGTAAAAGGAAAATAGATCAGAACGTCTTTCAAGTCAATGAAGCAAGTGACCTCATCAAGAGTATTAGAGCTGCTGCACATGGATTTATGTAGACCCTTGAAAGTTCAAAGTAGAAGTGGCAAGTAATACATTCTGGTGATAGTTGATGATTACTCAAGGTTCACATGGACAAGGTTTTTAAGATCAAGGGCAGAAACACCATATGAATTGATAGTGTGTTTCAAAATGATTTAGACAGAATTGAATCAAGTGATAGTTGGGATCATGTCTGATTATGGAACTGAGTTTGAAAACTTAAAAATTGATCAATTCTTTCTGAAAAACGGCATAAGCCACAACTTCTCAGCTCAAAGAACTCCTCAGCAAAATGGAGTAGTGGAAAGGAAAAACATAACATTGGTAAACATTGCAAGAACCCTGATTATTGAGTCAAATCTTCCACAAAATTTTTAGGCTGAGGCAGTCAACACAGCATGTCATGTCACAAACAGATGTTTGATAAGGTCATTGCTGAATAAGACTCCCTATGAACTACTCAATAACAGGAAACCTATGTTGAGCTATCTTAGGGCATTTGGATGTAAGTGTTTTGTCTTGAATAATGGTAAATATGATGTTGGAAAGTTTGATCCTAGAAGTGATGAAGGAGTTTTTGTAGGATACTATTCATAAAGTAAGGCATACAGAGTATTCAACAAGAGAACTCAATATATTGAAGAAAGTGTCCATGTAGTCTTTGATGAAGATGGAAATCTGAAAAGGAAAGCATCAAATGATGAAAATGAGTTAAATGAGTTGTTTCAAGCTCAACAAAGTGAAAGAAGTAAAGCTGAGACGGGTGATCAATTGAAGATTGACAATGCTGATCAAAGTTCATTTGAAAAGACTGATGAAGTTGATAAATCTGAAGAGGAAACTAGTCCCATTCAAAACTCCAATCAAGATATCACTCACTCTCCAAAAAATGAGAATTTTTTTGATGAAGAGGAGGACACTGATCAGTTACATCCGTTGACATCAAGACCAAGATTGAAATATAGTTCATCTCATCCACTTGATAATCTCATTTAACCTCTGAACTCTGGAATCCATACTAGATCAAAAACAAGAAATCTAGTTGCATTTTCAGCTTTTACCTTACAATTGAGCTTAAGAATGTAAAAGAGGCTCTGTGTGATGAAGACTGGGTTAAATCAATACAATAAAAACTACATCAATATGAGAGAAGCAATGTATGGTACCTGGTCCCACGACCAGCTGACAGAACAGCTATATGAACCAGGTGGGTGTTCAGAAATAAGCTTGATGAAAATGGTGTGATTACAAAGAACAAATCCAGATTAGTTATTCAAGGATATAATCAAGAAGAGGGCATAGACTATGATAAAACCTTTGCACCAGTTGCGAGAATGGATTCTATCAGAATTCTTAGCCTTTGTTGCTTTCATGGGTTTCAAGCTGTATCAAATGGATGTCAAGAGTGTGTTCCTAAATGTAGACTTAAAGGGAGAGGTGTTTGTTAAACAACCTCCTGGTTTTGAAGATGCTGAGCTACCAAATCATGTGTTCAAATTGAATAAGGTCTTGTATGGGTTAAAACAATCTCCCAGAGCTTGGTATGAAAGATTGTCAAAATTCCTGTTGAAAAATGGCTTTAAAAGGGGGGAAATTAAAAATACCTTGTTCTTAATATAAAGAGAACAGGAACTACTTATCATACAAGTATATGTGGATGTCATTATCTTTGGAACAGGAACTACTTATCATACACGTATATGGGTGAACTGAATTTCCTTTTGGGGATACAAATCAAGCAATCATCAGAGGGAATCTCAATCAGTCAGGAGAAGTATATGAAAGAGTTGCTGAAGAAATTCAAAATGTTTGATTCTAAATCTATAGATACTCCTATGGGAACAAATTCCAAGCTTGTACCAGATAAGTTGATCCTCTTGTGAATTAAACCATGTGTATGGGAATCATTGGATCCTTGTTGTATCTGACTGCTAGAAGACCTGACATCGTACATAGTGTTGGAATGTGTGCTAAATTCCAAGCATGTCCTCGAGATTCACATTTAAAGGCCGCCAAACGGCTTCTGAGATATTTGAAGAGACCAGGTCCTTTTCTATCCAGCTGGTGCATCTTTTGACCTTGTATGCTTTGCAGATGCTAATTATGCAGGATATCAAGTAGACAGGAAGAGCTCTTCAGGGATGGAACATTTCCTTGGATCCTCTCTTAATTCTTGGGGAACGAAAGAAACAAAATTCAATAGCTTTTTCAATAGCTGAAGCCGAATACGTAGCAGCAGCTTCATGTTGTTCACAGTTGTTACAGATTAAACAACAATTAGAGGACTTTGGAGTCAGCATCAAGTCAATATCTCTTATGAGTGATAATACAAGTGCTGTCAGTATGGGAAAGAATCATGTTCACCATAATAGAACCAAGCACATTGATGTGAGACATCATTTCATAATGTTGAAAAAGGAAATATTGTGCTAACCTACTGCCCAACAGAGGAACAAATTGCATACATCTTCACCAAGGCTCTCAACAAAGATCAGTATGAGAGTAACATTTGAAGTTGGGCATGCTGAATTCAAATTGATCTCAAAGTCATTCAAGCATGAAATTTCGTTGGTGGCTAAAATTTGTAGTGAATGTATCCTCTTTAGTAATAATAATTTGTCTTAGTAAGATCAATGTTGTACCTATTGCAGGTATACATTCATAAAAGATTGGCAAAAGCAAAAACATGGCCATAACCATTTAGGAATGGTGCTTAAGTTGCATTAAGGGACCTGGTCCCTACAGAGGTTAGATTTCTGTATATTAATTTTAAATTGGCTTAAGACACCGTTGATATAGCCATGTTCAGTCATAGGTAATTCTGACCTTTAATCCCATCGCTTAAACTCCATTTGATGCGTCAAATCATAGGGACCTAGCACTATTTCACTTCTTTTTATACACCACTTCTCTTTCCTAAACCTCTTCATACTTGTTTGTTATTTCTCTTATGAAAACCCTAAAATACTCTCTCTCTCTCTCTCTCTCTCTCTCTATCTCTATCTATCTATCTCTTCTATCTATTGTTGCTCTTTTACTCTTCTTCTCTCCTTGACTAATAAACATGTCAAAACCATCAACATCATCAAAGAAGATGCTCGCATCTCTGAGTTGGTACTGTGAAGCAATCTTTCTCCGAGTCTACTTTGGTTTAACGTGAATGCATAAAAGGGAAGGGAAATCCTAAGAGCAAAGTGGCTCAACTTGTTGAAGACCAGGATCAACTGAAGCATAAGGTGTAAGAGATGACTATGAGGTTGAGTAGTTAGGATGCATAAATTGCTATTCTAAAGGCCAAGCTACTCAAGGCGCAGACTGAGGG